TTGTTGGACTGACAGCCCCCAACCCCCTCCCCCCTGACTAGTCTTTGGTTGGTCTGACCCATCCTCTTTTCCTATCAGACATCTAGACCTACTGTCCTCATCTCTCCTCCTACTTGACTTTTGTGTGTGTTGCTCTCTTGTAAACACCTCTTTAGTCTTATCTTCTGCCCTACCATGACCTTATGTTGCAGGTAAGTGCCGTAAAACTGACCAAAAGTAACTTACGACCCACCGTCGTACACTGTCTCTGGGTGGTTGGCGGGTGCTCTGGTGTGGTTTGCTCCTTCTTTCCTATCAAACATCTATCGTCTCTATCTCCCCTCCTTCTTTGTTGTGTTTGTTACTCTCTTGTAACACCTCTAATCTTTGGCACTTCTTAGATGACCTTATTGTGTTGCAAGTGCCGTAAAACTCTTACGAAAACTAAACAGAATTTTACCTGGCAACTGACGGAAGATTGAAAATCTGCAAAAAGGGAAATCAAACCTGTCTTGAAAATCTGAAATTTTGAAGGTTGCTGGAAAAAGATGGCTGAAATCTTTTCGTCCCGGCTAGCCAAAGTTTGACGCTGTAAAAGCTGAACTAAGAAACACATATGTGAGGAAGGAATTAAGGATGGTGTGTGTGTGTTTGTGTATGTGTGTATTTGTGCGTGTGTTTGTGTGTGCGTGTGTTTCTGCATGTGTGTGTGTGTGTGTGTGTGTGTGTGTTACAAGGGAGGTCACCGACTATAGTTCACCTGTGTTGAAATATGCACGGTTACTTCCCTTGACCCGTGATGTGTCATGGGCGTCGGTGAAATGTTCAGTGTGTGTTACTGGTTGTTTTCAGTATGTTGTATTTTGTGGGTTTTTTGTAGGAATTTTACGGCGCTTGCGACACATAAATGGCTGTCTGCCAGGGTCTGTTTCTTCATTATGTGCGTAGTGTGTGGGTGTGGGAGGCAGAGGAATTCTCCCCCCTCACTCTCTCTTCCTCTCTCCCTCACTCACTCACTCTCTCTTTCTCTCTCCCTCACTCTCTCACTCTCTTTCTCTCTCTCCCCCCAGTACGGAGACATATGTAACTTTCCTCCCTTCCCTCACTCACTCACTCCCTCCCTCTCTCACTCCCTCCCTCTCTCACTCCCTCCCTCCCTTTCTCTCTCTCTCTGTCCCTCCCTCTCTCTCTCCCTCCTTCACTCCCTCCCTCTCTCCCTCTCTCCCTCCCTCACTCTCTCTCCCTCCCTCCCTCACTCACCCCCTCCTTCACTCCATCCCTCTGCCTGTCTCCCTCACTCCCTCCCTCCCTCACCCCCTCCCTCACTCACTCACTCACTCACTCACTCCCTCTGTCTGTCTCCCTCACTCCCTCCCTCCCTCACTCACTCCCTTTGTCACTCACTCACTCACTCACTCACTCCCTTTGTCACTCACTCACTCACTCACTCACTCCCTCCCTCTGTCACTCACTCTCTCTCTCCCTCTCTCCCTCCCTCACTCCCTCTCACTCTCCCCCCCCTCTTCCTCCCTCCCTCGC